GGGGGGGGGGGTGAAGCCGGGATTTGTCGTGCCCGTCGTCCCTGTCTCTTGCAGTGTGTGGACGAAGGCTTTGCTGTGTTCAACGCTACATCTTAGCGTGTTTATAGTATTTTGTCCAAAACCACTTCGAATTACAAACTCAGCTGTGCTCCCCGTATTCGATAACGTTAAAAACTTTATAGCCTATACAAATCGTCTCTGGGGTGGTATTAATATCCAAACACAGATTAACCTGGTGAGCTCGTATTTCGTGATATCCTGTCGTACTTGATATAATTTGATTCCACCGAACTGATAGACATGCTTTTTGTAAAGTCCCCTTGATAATATGGCGAGTTATGTCGGTATTGAAAGTAAATGAAGAAGAGTACTTTCTGTGAGTTGTCAAAAGATAGTGAGTGTATTGAGAGAGAAAGCTCTAGCTCCTGCAGATGATTGTGTAAGAAGGGTGGTCTTATGTTATGCTCACTCTATAGCATACTCTAGTTTAGTCTAACGGCTTTAAAAGGCTTTTTACTGACTGGATATCAGCTCTTGGATACACCATACCATTTAACAAAGAGGCTACTTCAACAGCCTCCCTGCCTTTTTAAATGGAAGGTGATAATCCAAAATTATTTGATATTGCAGGTTAATAAAAATATTTTAATTTTAGTGTCAGTCTAAAAGACGACGCCGGGAGGAAGCTCGCGTTGCAGGCTTTATTTGTCGCACTCAGTTTTGCTGTTGTGAAGAGGGCCACGTGGGCACGCCCGATGGCCAACATCTGGAGGACGGGCGTCAGCAGGGGCGCCTCGCTCGGTCGTACAGCGCTGAAAAAGAAGAACAAACGCAAACCAAGGAAGACGGCGGAAATTCGCGCGGCAAAGCAAGCTAGGGCGGCTCGGCGAGTAGCCACCAAGAGCACGGACACGACGGCAACTGTGACATATAACGGTGGCAATGGATGTACGGCCGCGGGGACCAAGAGGAGCAACGCCGCGATGGCAAGTAAGCAGGGGGTCCAGCGCCGTAGAGCCACCACCATCTCGTGATGTCACTAAAGCGAGGAAAATAGTGGTAATTCAAAAGGCAGCGCAGTTGTGCCTTGAGTATGCCACATGTGCACCCTTCTGATCAATGCGAGCCTTCATCGATACACTAACTGCAAGTATGATCGGGTTAAGGTCATTATTGACTGATCTGCTGGCAATGCACTGACCGACGCCATTGCTGAGGCCCTCGGTGTAGTCGAATTCGACACAGTTGTCTGTACAAATACTATAACCGACCGGAAGTCAACAGCCACTGACCGGAAAGCTACTACCACAAACTAAGCGACTACTGCCACCAATCACAAATGTTCAATCACCAGCCGAAAAAATACTGCAACTGACGAGCAGGCAACTTCCACCGACCACATGTATTACCCGATATATGGGGAGTATTAATCTGGTTGGGGCGTCACTGTTGACCGCGAATTCGCGACAAAAGCTGAGACGTGGGAGGTAGGGTACATCATTGACATGCGCGAGTCACTGCTAGGTATGGAGTACCGTGTGCTTTGGGTCCATCCGGACAGTAGTTGCAAGACGCTCTACTTACGATCATGGACACCTGTGGCCAAGCTTAGAAAAGACGACTTCGTGGAAGAAATGGATCGCGTCGACCGCTGGAAGGCTTCATCTGTTTCGCTCTTCGAGGAATTCTGGAGGACAGATGAGGTTAGCATGGGATTG